GGATTTCAGTATAAAGCACGCATACTCAGGCAACAGCAATGTGGCAACAGATTTGGAAAAGTTACAAGCTGAAGTCCCACATTCGATTTTCACAATTGTCATGCTTTAGCCTCCTCTGGTCTGTCATGAGTGGAAAAAAAAGGTAGTTCCCATTCAGTCAGGAGGTTGGTTGAGTTTTTCTGAGTTGGATTACAACACATGTTTTTTCTTCCCACTTGTAAGTTGTATACAAAGAGTTGAGATTATTTTATAAGCTATTCTTTCACTCCAAGGCTTCATTCCCTGTAGTTTCCATCATGGATAATGTAACTGCTCATTAATCACCCCCAACACAAGACCTATAGGTAAATACCTGTTTGTTGTTAACTCCTGAAGGTTTACATACTTAACTGAAGAGCAGATGGTGCTTAAGTCCTCTATTCTCTCTGATCATGATCTCCAAAAAGTCCCTCTTATTTTGGTATCTATTTTTTTTTATATTTGTGTCTATATTCTCCAGATAGGTATGGAACAAGCACAACAGCATTTTCTTTTTCTTTTTGGTACTAGAGAATAAACTCAGGAGCACTTAACCATTGAGGTATTTTCTTTTCTTTTCTTTTCTTTTTTTTTTTTTGAGACAGGATTTTGCTTAGTAGCTTAGGCTGGCTTTGAACTTGCAATCCTCCTGTCTCAGCCTCCCAAGCTGCTAGGCTGCACATGACATTTTGAAACAATTCACCCATTTATGCTGATGGGTGCAAATTTACTTTTAGACTCAAAACATTCTTCTCTAGTCTGTTAAAAACCAAGAACAAAACAGAACACCTTTCTGTCTACAGATATAAACACTTATCAATATCATAGCATCCTGTTCTGATTCACTCAATATGTTCATTCATTCAGTAGATGTTTATTGAAGCTCCTGGAATTGAAAATACAAAAGGTAATGCATTCCAGACCCTCAGGGAATTTATGGAACAAATCAGTTGAGGCTAACTTGCACCTTTAAAGATTATAGTTAGAAATAATTGCCAATTCTGAGAGAACACTCAGGGACCCCCAATCTGGCTTCCTGGAAGCCTGTGGACTGCTGAGTACGCAGTTCTATCTCTGGCCTTAGGATTTAGACAATGCTCCCAGCATCTTTCACTTCTTCACTGCTCCAAAGCAGTGTCAATTGGATTTTCCCATGTGTTTATTCATACTTCTCTCTGTGGTGTAAAAACTTCTCTATAAATCATGTGACAAGCTGGAATCTTAAGTGCCACAACATTGCCAAAGGAACAATCTTGATATTAGGGTAAACAAATGATTTCATAGACATCCTCTGAAGTGACAAACACCAGGAATGTTTACTAAGAAGAAAGTGACATAGATCATTCTAGGGAACCAAGAGTTTTGAGGTGTGTCAACAGGAGTGATTTTAACTGAAATTGCTATGGGATCATATTGGCCTAAGTTATGGCCAGAGTGTTTATTCGGGTAACACATCCAGGTAGAAAATTCTGCCACTATCAAGTGATAGAAATAAATTTTTCTGCCTACAGTTTGGCTCAAAACACTTCATGAATAAAGAATAAGATAATTTTTTTTTTTTGCCAACAGAAATTACAGATTTAATTCCATCCCATTTGAGCAATAAAAAGGGCTCAAACTCATTTGGGAGGAGCAACAGTTCAGAGAAATCCTGTGGACTCTGTTCCTCCCGTAAGGAGCACTTGTTCTAGAACACGGGTCCCAGCGGGCGTGCTGAGTTCTTCTGCGTTCACATTCTTTCCTCTCTGACTTATTTTTGCTTTCTGTTTGACTTGGCTTGGTTTCTTTTTGCCCTAAACCTTCTCTTGAGCCCTCCCCTGACGGGGATGCAGAAGTGGATGTCCATTCTGCCCACACTTCACAGAACTCAGTGCCAAGTGTTGTCAAGAGTCACTTGACGTCAAGGCTGACTTTTAAATTTGCCAGAAAGCCATTCTTTGAGGAGTGTTGGACTCTATCACTTTCTCGCTTTAAAGAGCTACTACAGGCTGCTGGAATTCAAAGCCCAAAATTGCATTTCTAAATTTAATTCAACACATATATGGGGGAAAGAGGCTTTAAACACTGATATTAGCATTTTTAAAATCAATGAGTTTTAATTTAGCATTCATTTTTTCTTCCTTCACCAACTTTCTTTTTATACTTTTAATAAAATTATAATACATGTACATATTTATATACCATATCTTAGAAAACATATTCAATAGTCATTAGTTTCTTTCTTGTCTTGCCAGCATATATTTAGTTACGTTGTGTCCATGGATGAAGTGTGCCATAGATTTTAATAAAATTTTATTTTATTTGAAGGCTTGTCTTTTGTTTGTTTATGCTTTTAATTTGGAGTCCATGGGAATCTCTAAATTCGGTTCTAGAATCTGTATAATCATCTAATAATACCTTTGCTGCTAATTGCTACTTTCTGAGAGTGACTTTTGAAACACTTCCATTTCCCATTCTATTTAATGTCTTCTCTCTCTCTCTCTCTCTCTCTCTCTCTCTCTCTCTCTCTCTC